TTTTTGGGCCGAACTTTAAAAAAATGATACCAATGGGTAGCTACCCCACCATCTTTCAGGCGGAGATTCATGCAATAGAAATTTGTGGCAGAGAATGTCTTAGAAGGGGAACGTCATCGAAATATATCTGCATTATGTCGGACAGTCAGGCAGCCCTACTGGCCCTGAAGTCCCACAAAATAAGTTATCAGCTAGTACAGGATTGCCGCAATGTCCTAAATGCTCTTGGTGACAAGAATACAGTCTTATTAGGATGGGTACCAGGGCATGAGGGACATGATGGCAATGAGGAGGCTGACTGCCTAGCGAAACAGGGAGCTGCCGCAGTATTTTATGGTCTGGAACCCTTTTGTAGGCTCACCAAAGCACATATAAAGGAGACCATAAATAACTGGGTAGACAAAATGTTCAACAGGCATTGGATGGAATGTCCAAGGCAAAGACAAGCCAAACGATTTATCTGTCCTTCAAACGAAGTTTCAAAGAAACTAATCAATTTAGGCAGAGAGGACCTCAAAACTCTCACTGGGTACTACACGGGACACTGTTCTCTTCGTTACCACCTCAGTAAAATCAATCTTTCAGAAACAAGCGTCTGTCGCTTCTGTGAGCTGGACGAAGAAACGCCAGAACACAATCTCTGTGAATGTGATGCTCTCGCTAGGCGCAGACTAGTCCACTTTGGTGGCGCTACCCTTAATCCATTTGAAATTTGGAACAAAACGCCCTTGGAGGTGCAAGGCTACATTAAGAGCCTTCCCATATAGGCCGGGGGCCACGCACAGTAGACCACTTTAGAGGTCGCGGTGCATATGGCCCATAATAATAATAATAATAATAAATATTCGTTCGCGTCGCCTTCGTTTGTGTAATTTTCTAGAACAAGTCTAGGATAGCGACAGTTTAGCTATAAAATAACCAAAAATGCCGATTGATAGAACTTTTTACGCTGATTTCAACGATACCGATAACGATAATTTATTTGGCGCAGGTAAAAAATAAAGAAGATATAAGAGGTTTATTTGTAATTTTTTATTATCACTAAATTGTTGAAACCCAAAAGTAGATCATAATAAAATATGTAATATCGAATTGAAGATAATAACTTGTACTTTCTAAATAATATACATTTCTTTACCATTAATTATGCAGTATTTTCAAAAAAGGTTATTTCATGAAAAAATAACATTTGTTCGTTTTTTTGTGGTTTTGGTTTAAAAATACAAAAAGCTATAAATTATGTACATCAGCTGAAGAACAAGTTAATTACCTTTATGGTGACCTCATTAGTTTTTTAATCGGTTATTAAGTTCATAAGATATTAATATTTAAAATATCTAAAAACTGAACTTTAACCTTCTAGAACCTCTTCATTTTTTACTTGCGCCATTTTGGCATGGTTGAAATGAGCATAAAAAGTTCTATTGATCTGCATTTTTCGTTTTTGCATAGCTAAACGGTCGGTATTCTAGATTTGTTCCCGGAAATGACGAATAACTTAAATCAAAATTGCATATTTTTATGTATTGATTAGTATTTCAATTAAAACACCAACTATATTGCAAATACGCATAGAATTAATAATACACATTTTACTTCTAATTGTATACTTTGCGTCCTTTTTGTAGTACCATTCCACTACCGTTTTCGTAAAATGCGATCACATTCTTCCTTCATTCATTCATTTCTCCTACTTCCAAAATACAAATCTAGATAAAGGAGTGTCAAATTTTAGCTGTCACAAATACACAACCTTGTATTATTGAATCATGACTCCCACCCTACTCCTAAAAACAAAAACTGTGATATTTCTTTTCCAAATTTCCTAGCAAGTTTTAAGAACATTTTTGAATTTTTAGTAGTGAAATTTTTACTTTTTATACCCGAGCGCACTTGTGTACAAGGGTATATTAATTTTGTTCACATAACGGTTGTTTGTAACATCCAAAACGAATCGAGATAGATATAGACAAATGTATACCTAAATGCTCAGAATGAATAGAGAAGTCGATTAAGCCATGTCTGTCTGTCCGTCCGTCTGTCCGTCCCAACGAAATTTGGTATGTAGGTTTCCATTAATCCAAGGTCGGTTGGTATTGACCACGCCCACTTCCCATATAACGGTAATTTCCAGAAATACGAAAACTGCGATATTTTAGTAACTACTGAAGATAATTTACTCAAAATTGATATTTACTATAATTTTCAGACGAAAAATAAGAATATAATAAAGTTTTGGAAAATGGGCGTAGCCACGCCCACTTATGGTTACATGTGTATATCTTGGTAACCGCTGCACCAATTTCTTCCAAACTTGGCACAGTTATAGGCCTTAATACAACATACTAAATGGCTGAAAATCGGACAATAACCACGCCCACATCCCATATAACGGTAATTTAGAGAAATACAAAATCTTCGATAAATCAGTAAATATTAAAGCTAATTTATTCAAAATTGATGCTTGCAACAATTCTTTACCAAGAAATACTTTTGTAGTAAAATGAGCGTGGCACCGCCCACTTATGATCACATATATGTATATCGGTAACCGTTCTACCGATATGTACCAAACTCGGTATTTTTATTGTGCTTGCCACATAAAAGCAAAACGTTGAAAATTATCGAAATCGGACTAACATTACGGCCGCTTTTCATATAACGGTAAATTTCAGAAGTGCTTGAAACTGCAATATTTAATACACTCAAAATTCATACACCCCGGCTTACCATGTAGGTATGTTTCGGAAAGGTGTAAAAATATATATTTAATACTTGCGCCGGGTATTTAATGTTCGGCTCTGCCCGAACTTAGGCTTTCTTACTTGTTAAATTTTAAGAAATGTTTATTCTTCATTACATGCCGACAACAAGACAAAATGGGTAAGAATCGTTGGCCTACAGAAATGCAATGTAGGCTAAAGAGACGAAATTCCCTTAAGGCGGATCTCCATAGCATGCGTATACGTATGCGTGCGCTTGAAAAAAAAAAATTGAATATACAAATTTTTATGGCAGCACCTACATGGCAACGCATGAAAATGTAAGATAATATTTTGAATTTTGAATGCGGATGTCACGAATTTTTAAGAAACAAGAAACAAACCAGATGTGTCAGGTTTTTCTAAAGCTTTCTAAAAAGAATTCTTCATTCTCATTCCTTTGGCAGTTTCGAATTTGGGGAATTTGTAACTTCATCAGCGTTTTTCAATTTAATTTCTGTAATTTATTTTTAATACTTTCTGCTCCGACTGGTTTAAAAAGTTTGTGCTTATAGCGAGATAAATAAGTGGATATGAAAAATAAACAATTATTTTCCAGGAATGAAAATTTTGAACAAAATTCTGTTTTCAAAGTCGTGGCTGCCAGCCGAATCGGATCAGACCCTGTTTTTTTATAAGCATTTGAATCTCAGATAGTTACGTAATTCGTATCTTATTAAAGATCAGACCTATAGTTTTCTAATTAGTTGAGCATCGATTCTCTTTATAGCGAGACGTTGATCATTTCTGATGGAAATCCCTATTGAAGGAGCTTACTCTTTGACTTTAACAGGTCTATTCTGCACGTTACCGAAGATTTTGTGACCGGAAAATTTTATTCCCAAAAAATGTTACCACTTCTTGTCACCGCGATTCTAGGTACGTTGGTAATGCAGTAAAAATATTCAGCAATTCAGCTATGAAGATTTGTGGAAATTCCTGTATTGCATATTTCACGGGGCAATATTTTGGTATCAGCTTATGAGATGGTAACCAAATTGCCCGGTTACAAGAGAACACAGAATGCGAAAAAGGTTCAAAAATTGGCAGACACTTTAATTACCGGTTATAAAATTTATTTTACCAGCGCAGAATAGACCTGTAACAGGTCTATTCTGTACGTTACCGAAGATTTTGTAACCGGAAAATTTTATTACCAAAAAATGTTACCAGTTCTTGTCACCGCGATTCTACATACGTTGGTAATGCAGTTAAAATATTCAGCAATTCAGATATGAAGAATTGTGTAAATTCTGGCATTGCATATTTCACGGGGCAATACTTTGTTACCAGCTTATGAGATGGTAACAAAATTTACCGGTTACAAGAGTACACAGAATGCGAAAAGGGTTTAAAAATTGACAGTAATTTTATTTACCGGTTACAAACTTTTTAGTACCAGCGCAGAATAGACCTGTAAAAAGCAAAGAAGGGACAGTTTTACCGCAGAAGTTTTTAGCCAAGGATCCAATGTATATCCCTATAAAAAAATATTGCTCGACAAGTAAACAAAATTACTGCTAAAATTTTTGCTAAAAATAAATTCCCCAAAGAGCCCCGTTTGAAATGATTGAAACGAATATATCGATGGCTGAGTGGAAGATCGACCTATCTCGGCAGCCAGTTCGAAAACGCCCTATCT